TTGAAGATTACTTTGATATTCTGGAAGATTACGACATTATAACATTTTAACATTATGTAAATTCCGCACTGTAAACCACTCATAACCTATAGAAAGTGGACGTTGGTATAATTATGACAGATCAGAAAAATAATGTAATATCTGTAATATGCAAGAAATAGGCGACGAATATCAATAAGTCTGCATGGATTGTATCTCTATTTAAATGTTCTATAGGCAACATCACCGTACAAATGAAGATGTGATAAGAATTGAGTAAAGGTTTTTTAAGGTAATCTGTAGTGACGAAATCGTTAAACGTGACATAATTTTCCAGTTATAAATGTACATAGATTACGTAGATGACGTTAATTAAAACCCAAGACAGTTAGGAAATATACACACCGTAAAAAGGGGACAAAGGGACATAAAAAGAAAATTAACAATCGAGAACACAAAATCGTCTCTTTTGTCTTAAATTTTAGTAGGAGTTTCCCTTATGAAACAAGAATATCCAAATCAAGAAAAGGAGATTTACTGCTGTTCATATAGATTAATTTACTGGGGTTAGTTTTCACAGTATAATTAGTGAATTTTTTATTGTTTAAAGAAAAATATCATAAAGGTAACGGTATTTTTTCTATTCTTATATTAGGTGAAAGTTAGACACATCTTTATTGAGCTTGGTCATAAACTCCAATTCAAAACAATACAGAAACAATTGGTGACCATGGGAACAACTACAACTTTATTGCCGATAAGTCCATAGATGATGTCAAGTTAAGAATTATATCAACACAGTTCCATTGAGTTGATTTCGCAGTCAAAGGCTAAAAGCAGGTTTCTTCATCGTTAAATGAATCCCATTTTATAAATTTTATAGCCTTTTTAATAATACCTACAGATATTTTGATATAGTTTTCTATGTCTGACATTTTGCTGGAGTCAACTTTCAATCAACCTGACTTTACCTGAATGTCAACAACACGCTTGTGGATTGATATTATCTCATATGATATTTTAGTACAATTTCATTCCATGTTTTTCTCTTTTTAATTAGTGTAGCAGTGCATTTCATTAAAGATAAAAATAAAAATAAAATCTAAATGGATTTAACTTTATTGAAATAGATTAAACCTTTACAACATTTGTATTTCTTGCATTATTATAATACCTCCCTCCTTATACACCAAGTTTTAACGACATGCTTGAATTTTGCAGCAAATCTATGCAGTTCAAGATGGTGAGGCGTGAAACGATGATTAGTGATATTCTGTACATGTATAGAATGAAGAACGGAAACGGGGAATGTGTCAAAGAAACAACAACCCGACCAAAGAGCAGAAAACAGCCAAAGGCCATCAATAATGGGTCTACAACGCAGCGAGAAAATCCCGCATCCGGAGGCGGGCTGCAGCTGGCCCCTAAACAATAATGTATACTATTTCAGCGAAATGGACGCCACACTAAACCCCGAAACATACCATTTTAGTCTTACGATACATGATTTTTTTTATTAGTTTTTTCGGCTTTGAACTAGCTGTCGGTAACTGCGAATACTCTCAGATCTGTACTTTGTGTCTTTTTTTATTGTTAGTGATGTAGAAATACCCTGCCACGTCCTGTTTATGTTATGTTAGATGTTTTTCTGCTTTGTATCGATCTGATGAGTTAAGCCCTTTTCAACTTATTTTTATAGTTTGTTCTTATGTTGTGCTGCAACACCACTGTTCCAGGTTAGGGGAGGGTTGAGCGAACACAAACATATTTAACCCCGCCACATTCTTTATATATATGTGTCTGTGCCATGTCAGGAACCTGTAGTTTAGTGGTTGTCGTTAGTTCATGTCTGTCAAATTTGTTTTTCGTAAATTGTTTTGTTATAAATTAGTCCGTTAGTTTTCTCAATTGAATTGTTTCATATTTCTCACGTAGGGGCCTTTTATAGCCGACTATATGGTGTGGGTTTTTCTCATTATTGAAGGCCGTACGGTTGCCTATAATTGCATTCATCTACTTTATTTGAACTTTGGTGGATAGTTGTCTCATTGGCAATCATACCACATCATCTTATTTTTAAATGAACCAAAATTTACACAAGACTAACAAAGACTCTAGTACTAGAGGTTCCTGACTTTGGACAGGCGGACATACATATTTATTAAAAAAAGTCCTATCGAAAGTTAACGCTACAGAAAAACAACAGTATATTTATGAAATATCATTATATAATCAAAACAATCATTTTGTGTAATAAATGAATGGTCTATATGTGCATTTAGGAGGCCACTAGTGAAGAACAAATGTATGGCCGACAACATATTTACATTATATATGTATATTAATAAACAGTTGAGCTATATTATATGAATAAATACGTTTCCATATTATTTCCGAAATGTAAATATTTGTTCAAAGGTCAATACAATATATAACAAGAGGCTGTCAGAGTGACAGCAAACCGGATTTTCCTGCAGAGGTAGAACCCTGAACAGTTGAGAAAGTATGGACACTACATTTAACCTTAAAACAGCTCTGAGTTTGGATTGTGATTGAATTTTTGACACAGCATAGGTTTGTGACACAAAATGAATGTGGTTTAAGAACTGAAATACTTGAAATTGGAATTTAAATACCTATAGCTATTATGGTCCAATATCAACAAGTCAAAATCGTGATTATTGAACTTGACCTCCATTTTGTTGTCAGTAACAACATATTAAAATTTAAAAAGGTTTGGTTGAACAGTTCATGAGTAAATGCACGGACACGACATTTTTTAAACTTTCAAGAACCGTAACTCCTGAACGGTAAAAGTCAAAATCGTCGTTATTGAACTTGACCTCCATTTTGTTGTCAGTAACAACATATTAAAATTTAAAAAGGTTTGGTCGAACAGTTCATGAGTAAATGCACGGACACGACATTTTTTAAACTTTCAAGAACCTTAACTCCTGAACGGTAAAAGTCAAAATCGTCATTATTGAACTTGACCTCCATTTTGTTGTCAGTAACAACATATTAAAATTTAAAAAGGTTTGGTTGAACGGTTCATGAGTAAATGCACGGACACGACATTTTTTAAACTTTCAAGAACCGTAACTCCTGAACGGTAAAAGTCAAAATCGTCATTATTAAACTTGACCTCCATTTTGTTGTCAGTAACAACATATTAAAATTTTAAAATGTTTGGTTGAATGGTTCATGAGTAAATGCACGGACAACATTTGGTTGCCGCCCGCCCGCCCGCCCGCCCGCCCGACCGACCGCCCGCCCGCCGTACATCCCCAAATCAATAACCGACATTTTTGACACAAAAATCCGGTTAAAAACGTAACAGAGAAACACAAGAACAAACAAAAACAATATCGTATCGAAGAATGCTCGCAGTTATTGAAAGCAAGCTCAAAGTACCTAACCTGTTATTTTTTCCGTTATACCCGGACAATATTGAAAATGCAAAAAGATACGAATAAAACATAAAATAGTGCAGATTTTGTTGCTAAGATATAAGTGTTTATGGGTGATCTACGGACCGAGTGTGCTTTTCGTTTCGGATGACATATTTTTGAACATGTTGTGTTTAATAATGTGGCAGCACTTTTTCTTCAGAAAAGTTCCATGCGTGAAAATTTAACCAAGGAAAAGAACTTTTCGCGTTTACTGCCAAGTAAATTATTAATATCCATAATACTATAGTTTTATGTTTTTTTCTAAATGCCACCTCATATCGTTCTCATTTAAACCTTACAAATCTACTCCTTTTAATAACAATGATCAATATTTGCATCATATTTCGAATGATGAACATAAATTTGTTTTTGTTTTGTGACAATTCATAATTATTCATTCATTGACAGTCTTTATCAACTAAACTAAAATATACAATGGCGCACAATTTAAGAAATTGTTTCTCCCACTAAAGCAACGTCGAAGCAATAAACAGTAGTAACAAATAAGATATAAAGTTACATTTATCACATGTCATATCGGATATATTTAGGTGAAAAGCATAGGCTATTATTTCTGTCGTCAGTTGTATTACGTCTGACTACACGTAAAACGTGTTAAACATATTTAAACGCTAAAAGCTGAATTTTTTTTCTGTAAACACGTGTATTATTTTCCATGTATGATCATGTATTTGAAACAGCTGAAATCTCATCAGTAAAGTAATTAGGTATAACTCAGTCAAAATTCGGAACGGACGGAAATGAAATGCAGATTCATAATTCATAATGCATAGTTAATCGAATTAATTATAACAGACACAAACGTAACAATTGTTAAATTGATCATTTATTTTCGAAATTGTCACTGTTTACTCGTTTTGTATGTCATTTCAGTTGTGTCAAAGTCAATGAATGGTCCAGGTATATTTGCGTCCATTCGTTTTTCGTTTTGAGAAAAATGTTTCTATTTTTAAAGATTATCAATCGAATTTCATTCTTGATGGACAAGATCGTCCTCTTTCGGAAGTAAATTACAATGAACGCAAAAAACTACTTTAACAGTACTGGTAATAGTTAAAAAGCATTACTCTTTTTAAGTAAAATATGTTATATTACCCCTGATCCTATTTCAGAAAATATTAAGCTAAAAAAAATCATTTTCGGTTCTTATCCATTTTCTACAAAATAACGGAAGGGAGGAGAATTTATTTTTATTTAAATCTATTTCTTTATTTCATCGGGAAATATTTTCAATTTAGAGATAAACTTTATATGGTTTAAAACCATTCTTTTAAATTAATAAAAAATACATAAAGTCAAAGACCCATTCAAATTCACTGAAATATAGTGCATGATGATATTCTCACTGCCCTTGTGCAATGGGATTTATATCAAAACCCCACTACCTTCCCATTAATTAACATGACTCTTACTGCCTCAAGGGAGATACTTACTAAGATTTTACATTTTTACACCATATATGATCCAATACGTTTGAATACAGCAATACGGTTTCATAAAACATGATTGATTAAGTAAAACAGGAATAAAATAGTCAGAGATACTTACGAATTTCAGCAAGGTTATAACCTTAAAATCCAACGATAACTCGACCAGTAAATAGTCAAAAGTTTATCAATGTCAAACTCCTGTACCAATAAATCGCTGGAGACACAACAGCTGTTCGACCTATAGCAGATTAATTTCTGTCCAAAACAAATGTCTAAAATAAAATATCTTTCACAAAATAATCCGTCAGGTTTTTTTCTTCAAAGGAACTTATTAAGTGCTGCATGTTTATCAGAAATGAAAAGGGTTTATACAGTACGACTTTAACGGAAACAATCTTGTCAATCTGACAAGTTTTTTTCTGTATAATAAAACAAAATGTAATTATCTTTATAAATATAAAGTCGTTCTAAAACAAATTAGTATCCTTAAGCTAAAGTGCATACTCTTCTAACTTCCTATGTGAATATAAAATGAATATGTAATTTTATGTTGTTGTTCTTATGTAAGATAATGCTGTCAAACTTACCTTTACCCATCACATTATGACAGCTTTTGATGTCACCTGAAATAGGTTAATGTATACAATATTAATCTTATTATGTAGAATAAAGGCGGTTAACTGAAATATTGTGGTTAAAAGTTAGTATATACAAAATTTGATTTTTAAATTTTCGTTTAAATATTGTAAATCTCTAAAATTCACTATTTGGACATGCAAAGAGAAGAAGAAAGCCATTAGTGTTTTACTTGTTGCTCTCTTTATTATTTTTATGGTGCATATGCATACTTACCATTGAAGTCATGTCTATTTCAGGCAGACGAAAGGTTTGGATAAGGAAGTAATTTTGGTGACCGCAAAGACAAAAACGGAATTAAACAATGTATCCTGTAATCCGGATTTGATGTTTGTTCAGACTTTAAATAGCTTACTTCAAGTGGTTTTATGTAGAAAAAGAAAATGATCAGGATGTTGGAGGAGTCCTCTTTTTTTAATTTTTCTCTTGTTATATAACTAAAAAAAAAGTCAAGTGTCACCATACTATAAAAAAAACCTAAAAACAATAAACTTAAATTTAGCGACAACACAACAATATAACTAAGTCATCTGTATTAGGTATTTGAAGGTTGCTACATGTATACGACCCTCAACTATGGACAAGTGTACTGTATTCTCTTAACTGCCCTGATTCCGATTTACGTATTCTGCATTTTAAATGCTAATTTGGTTAAACTTTAGTGTGGTTTATGTTATTGTTTCACTTTAGCTGATAACAAGATGTTAAGTGGTTTATGTTATTGTTTCACTTTAGCTGATAACAAGATGTTAAGTGGTTTATGTTATTGTTTCACTTTAGCTGATAACAAGATGTTAAGTGGTTTATGTTATTGTTTCACTTTAGCTGATAACAAGATGTTAAGTGGTTTATGTTATTGTTTCACTTTAGCTGATAACAAGATGTTAAGTGGTTTATGTTATTGTTTCACTTTAGCTGATAACAAGATGTTAAGTGGTTTATGTTATTGTTTCACTTTAGCTGATAACATGATGTTAAGTGGTTTATGTTATTGTTTCACTTTAGCTGATAACAAGATGTTAAGTGGTTTATGTTATTGTTTCACTTTAGCTGATAACAAGATGTTAAGTGGTTTATGTTATTGTTTCACTTTAGCTGATAACAAGATGTTAAGTGGTTTATGTTATTGTTTCACTTTAGCTGATAACATGATGTTAAGTGGTTTATGTTATTGTTTCACTTTAGCTGATAACAAGATGTTAAGTGGTTTATGTTATTGTTTCACTTTAGCTGATAACAAGATGTTAAGTGGTTTATGTTATTGTTTCACTTTAGCTGATAACAAGATGTTAAGTGGTTTATGTTATTGTTTCACTTTAGCTGATAACAAGATGTTAAGGAAGAATGTATATGTACGCAATAAAAACTTTTTATTCAGAGGAACTGAGTTCTTCTAATGTATAATGGATTTTTTAAACTCCGATAACATAACCGTAAAATATATTTCCACTTTTTTTTCTTGTATATATTTTCTGTGTTTATGCCACGATAAATACGCAAATAAGCACAGCATCAAAGATTTCTGATTGATTCTTATTGTTCAGTAACAAAATATTTCAAGCATATTCACGACAAGATCAGTTTAAAGAAGTCGATTCTGCAAAGTTTCTTTATTGGGATGAAGATCAAGATTTGACGTGCCTCGGGACATAGGATGCAGAAGAAGGGTAAATCATTTAGCCTTCAAATAAGTCTCGTTCGGAATACTCGAAGACTTATTGCAATACCTTGACAACGTGCAGCTACTATGCCACAATCTTTATACTGATCATCAAATTTCAAGTCTCCATTTCAACTGTACAAGACTCCGTACTCACACATCTCGCTCCTAAAATCAAACGAACGCCTCTTCATCATCAATTTTATTTCCGCAAGGAAGAAAATATATGAACATCTTTCTATACTCTAGTAAACCTCTCAAGATTTCGTATTATGTTTTCTATGATTAACAATTCAATTCTCAAGTGTCATGTGTGTACATGCATGTACTTAAAAACACATTTGATTTTGTTATAATTGTATTTTGATTTTTTTTTACTTGTTGAATTCACTTCTTTGAGAAACTGTAGATTTAAACAAGGATGACTGGCACACATCGTCACAGTTATTTGACATCATTCCTCGTTATCATATTGTATACACTCTTGGTTATACATGACCCAATTTCCTTGATATATATGATATTAAATTTGAGTTACGTTTACGATCCGTAGAAATCCGGATTTGTATATTTCTCGTGCATATACAAACAATAGCAAATAAGTTTCAAAGCCATTTTCTATATTATAGAAGAAAATTAATAACGAAATGTACTACAATTGTCATTGAAACAGCAATCCTCCGTAAATTAGTTCATCAAACATGGTTGACTCATAGAACAATCTGTATGGGTTTTTTCTCAACCATTTTATATAATTTGGGTTGTTGTCTGCTCCACGTAAAACCAAACATCTCTTTTATTTATTGATATCTTAGAATTTAAATGATACAAAGCAAACAGAAAAAATCATTTACTGTTTTAAGACAAATGCAAAATGTAATAGTTTCTCCCTTAGCACAAAATTCACGTGTACTACACATCTACATCTACATCTTCGACACTCGAAAAGGGTACTTTGACCCATCACTCAAGTATAAATTTAACTTTGACGTCCTCCAACATAACAAAAAACTTTCTATATAACATTTACTAACAATAGTTCCAAATTGTGCTCAAAATAATTTATGTACAGGTGCAGGTTAAAAACATCATCTATCTTTTGTTTGTGTTTATTAGTCATTACAGAGAATCTTGGTGAGTTTGGTCTTGAATTCCTCACTGCTCTCAATCTCTAATAGTTCGTCTGGTAGTTTATTCCAGTCTCTGATGGTCCTCGGAAAAAAGCTGTATTTGTAAATATCTTTGTTTGGCCTGATTTGTACATATCTTTTTTTGTTCGGTTGATGGAGTCTCGAAGTTCTTCTAGGTTTTAAAATGTGCGATGGAATTGGTATAGCAACTTTTTCATAGATGGCTTTATGAAAGAGCGTTATACGTGCTTTTTTTCTTCTAGTTTCTCATGGTGTCAGTTTCAATTCTTCTAAAAGAGTTGTAACTGTTCCAGGCTCTCTTGAGTAGTTGCTTTTGATATAGCGTGCTGCACGGCGCTGGACCATCTCAATCTGGTATATATGTTTTTGTAGGTGAGGGTCCCATGCGCTGCAAGCGTATTCAAGGTGAGGTCGGACAAGGGCAAGATATGCTTGTTTCTTGACTTCCTCTGGACAGGATCCAACATTTCTTCGTATGAAGCCTAGTGCTCTGTTTCCTTTAGTGACTACTTTGTTAACTTGTTTGTCCCATGACATTGTGTTGGTAAGTTCAGCTCCTAGGTATGGGTTTGATGCGACTGATTCCAGGATATGTCCATTGATGTTGTAATTGAAGTTGATGGTTTGTCTCTTTTTGGTTATTGTAAGGACATAACATTTTGAAGGATTGAATATCATTTGCCAAATTTTGGTCCATTTTACCATTTTGTCAAGATCTCCTTGTAGATGTTTGCAGTCGTCCTTTGTTGATATTGCTAGGTATAGTAAGCTATCATCTGCAAACAGGCGAATTTTTGATGTTATGTCGTTCCCTATGTCGTTTATGTATAAAAGAAACAGCAATGGTACTAAAACTGTTCCCTGTGGTACGCCAGATGTTTCTTTAGCAGTACTTGATCTTTCCCCTTCCAGTGTGACTTGTTGTTCTCTTTGTGTCAACCATGCTTCTAACCAGGCAAGTATGTTTCCATCGATACCATATGATGCAAGTTTCTTCAACAAACGCTGGTGTGGTACTGTGTCGAATGCTTTACTAAAGTCTAATATAAGCATATCTACCTGTTGGTTATTGTCCAGGCTTCTAGTTATGTCCTCTGCTGTGATGACTAGTTGTGACTCACAAGATCTTTTGCTTCTGAAGCCATGCTGGAAGTCCACAAGTATATTATGCTTGTCAAGATGGTTCATTATGTGTTTAAATATGATATGTTCCATTATTTTACATGGAACTGATGTCAAGGATACTGGGCGATAGTTGACTGGTTGACTCTTATCCCCTTTCTTGAAAAGTGCGATGACATTTGCAATTAGCCAGTCTTGTGGTACACTTTGATCTTTTAGTGTTTTGGTGAAGATTAACTGTAAATATGGTGATATTGACTCTGCACACTCTTTCAATATTCTACATGATATATGGTCTGGACCATTTGCCTTGCTTGGGTTCACTCCCTTTAGTAGTTTGATGAACACCTCTGTACTTATGTGTAGATTTGGTATTTTTGATGTTTCATTTTCAGTTATATTGGGGAAGCTATCAAAGTCTTCAATCGTGAATACTGATTGAAATTGTGCATTAAGTGCTTCTGCCTTTCCTTTGCTGCTGTCTATTGTTTCTCCATTAACTTTGAGTGTTGATACTCCAACTGTTTCTCTCTTTTTAGATTTTATATATTTCCAGTACTTTTTCCCTATTCTGTATTGGTCTTGTGTGTTTGTTGAGGCTTCTGATGTTGATGGGCTTACTTCTAACATATCAAATATATACTTCTTATGTGATAAATCAAGTTCTGTCTTTACTGCTTTTCTATATTGCTTGAATTTATCCCAGTGCTCTTTAGTTTGGTATTTCTTTGCAACTTTATATAGTCGTTCTATTTTACGTATCATCTTCTTGATGTGTTGATTCACCCAAGGTAAGTTAAATCTAGATGTCAGATTTTTAGATGGTATATATAGGTCCATTGCTTGAAAAAGGTGAGTTTTAAATAGAGTCCAATATTCATCGATGTTCATCTCTGTTATCTTCTCCTTGAAATTATTGAATTTGCTGTTTAAATATTCTTTAACATTCTCCATATTTCCCTTCTTATATTGGTAGATTTTTCTGGGCTTGTTCTTAATTACCTTTGGTCTTGCGTTGACTATTGTTATTATCATTGCATGGTCACTCATTCCA